GGGGGGGGGGGGTGAGCTCCTCGGTCTACCTGATGATACATGCTGATTATACCACTAGCCCAAAATGGTTTAAAGATCTACTTTTTAATCTTTGACAGGGTAGTAAATTGGATTTTTTTTGTTCCTTTTTTCTTCAGTTTTTGTTTTTCTTTCTGGTTCAAAATCTCTTTTTGGGGGTTGAGGAGTTTGGGTGGCTTCAGCATTTGATAAACAAGATTTGAGGAACTGACAATTTAATTTCTCAATAGGGCTTGAAAGAATTACCTAGAAATGGTCCTATTGGTGTTAAGAGGATGGGAGAGCTCGACAGCAGACCGTTTCTTGAAGCAATGAAGAGGAGATATAATGAGGTAGAAGCAGAGGAGATAGCTTCTGAGTTGTGCTCGTTGTGGGAGGAGTACCTTAGAGACCCTGAATGGCATCCCATTAAAGTCATTTCCATAAATGGGAAACATCAGGTATGCTTTTCTTCTGGTTCATGGCGTCGAGTCTTTTACTAAGTACGAAGACAAGAAATGGATTGGCTTCCATTTGTTTTAGTTTCTACCACAGATGTATACGTTGGAATGCTGATCATTTGTGATAATTTATTGGATTTACTTGACCAGTGTAATGTGACCTATTTTGTAGACACTGCATAGCTGGAGTATGCTGTGTGTCTTCTCTTGCTTCTGTTGCAGTCTGTTTGAAACTTGATTTTTAGTTTCTTTTTCCCTCAACGGTGGCATAAATATATAGGCTACTATTGGAAATTGTTGGAAATTGTGCATACCAATTTGTCAAAAATCTGTGATTCAATATTAATCTGTGCACATAGCGGGAGCTTAGTGCACCGGGCTGCCCTCCTCCTTCCTGTGATTCAATACTGATAACAGATGGATTATATTGCACCATTGATGTGAAAAGGTTGACAAGAGTGGGTTGCTCTAGTGGTAAGCACCCTCCACTTCCGACCAAGAGGTTGTGAGTTCGAGTCACCCCAAGAGCAAGGTGGGGAGTTCTTGGAAGGAGGGAGCCGAGGGTCTATCGGAAACAGCCTCTCTAGCCCAGGGCAGGGGTAAGGTCTGCGTACACACTACCCTCCCCAGACCCCACTAGTGGGATTATACTGGGTTGTTGTTGTTATTGTTGATGTGAAAAGGTTAATCAGTCATTGGTATTGATTTAGGAAGATTTAATGTAATTAGCATCCAGGTTTCTATGAATACACTTTAACATTCTAAACAGCTTTGCTGCAGAACTGTCTGCATTTTATCTCTACCTAGTGTTTTCAGTTTTGTGTGGTCAACAGGGGTTGTCTGGTTCTGTGACAAATAGGAATCGCCTGATTATCCAACCAGTGCTGTTAGACTCCAGTTTGTAGCTTTTGTCTAGGTTGTGCGAATCAGGTTGTAATAGTTGATTTAAAGATATATATGAATATATTCGTAGGCTTGAATACACAAGAATGTAGATTGTATGCATTTGTTACTTTCTGAATAGAATCAATTAGCGGAATGAACAAAACACACTTCACTGGATCTACTATTCACCAGTCTTTTCTATACTGGAAGTTTTACATATTAAAAGTACTGTTAATGCTGTTTCAGGCTGTAATTGATGATGAAGATGAAAAACTGAAAGGCTTGAAGAAAACTTACGGTGAGGAAGTGTATAAAGCTGTTACAACTGCTTTGACTGAGATTAATGTATATAACCCAAGTGGAGGATACATCATCTGTGAGCTGTGGAATTATGACGTTGCTGAGAAAGCTACTTTACAGGAGGGAGTTACTGTGTTACTGAACCTATGGAAAAAGAAAATGACACTCGACTGAACTTTGGATGCTTCATTGTGCTTCTCCTAACGTTCTTTAGGTACCACCTTTCACCTGCTATAAAATATTCATCGGTAACAGCACAATCTGAGGGATGAGTTCGAACACAAAAAGAAGAGGACATGGTAATATCGAGAATAGACAAAAAGAAAATGATTATAACAGAATATCTGAGTTAGATATATTAATCATCTTCATATGCATTTGTTTCCCAACTGAAACTCTGTTTTTTTCTGGATTTTCTTTTATGTATAAATTTTGTCTTCTATGGTAATAATTTTCATGATGCTTCAACTCTCTGCTTAGACAGAACCTCATGTGAAATCACATTCCATTCGAGCTCCTTTATTTGCATTAGGAATGAAATCCTTCGCTGTGCTTTGGCCTCCAATTTAAGGGAAATGTTTTCTCAGATAAATGTAGAATAGGCTGGTTTTCTTTTAGTGAAGGTTAGTGCAGCTTCACACTTACATTGTCATGTAAAGTTGCATTTCATCTTGACAAGTTATAAGAGGAGCGCAAACATGTCATTGATCTATCCAGGGACAGACAATTAAAGTGGAGAATTGAAAACTATGGAGCGTAAGCTGGGGAGAAGGACAAGCTCGAGCAGCTTAAAGCAGGTGAGTTGTTTTTTAAATTTAAGTGCGTTACGCTTGATTTGTAGATAGATTAGATGAATTTGAATAGAGATGCCGCAGCACTATAGTTCTTGTTGCTGGTGGTGCTCAATATAGTTGTTTCAATACTGTGGATGACTTTTCATTCGACAAAGTATAGCTTAGCTTATTGGTTTTTGATCAAGCACGAAATGCATTCTTGAAGGCAAAGATTATGTGAAGAAGATTTGGAGTATTTGAGTTGATTGATAATTAATCAAAATTGATAGAGTAGCATAATTTCAAGGCATCTACATAGCTGTCTTTGACATTTTGTTTCATAAAATAACAGTCAGATGACCTATTGGTAGAAAATGTAGCAGAGAAGAAGACAACCAAGAAACAAACTAAAATCCTGAAAAATAGATATTAAAGCACCAGCCAAAGAGTTGAGCAAGAATGATCAACAACATTGAAGCCAATACATTCCATAGTTGCGATTGGAAGAGAGAGAGAGACATAAATCTTATCTTCTTAGTTCTTAAAATTTCTGTTAAATTTGTTCAATAGCATAGAGTTCTGGTGAGAAATCAAACATTTTCAAACTACCTTAGCAATAGAGAGGTACTATCATTTTTGTTCTTACAATTTCTATATTATTTTAGTCTTGTTAGAGATTTATATGTCAGTAAGATATGTAGAGAACCTTCTTTTTTTAATATTTGATTCAGAGGTGATCAAATGGATCATTAGCCGATCACAACAAGAAAGGCTTCTTTTTGTTATTGTTTATTTTTATATAGTAGCAATGAATCACTTAGAGAAAACTTTGGTATAAAAGTTGGAAGAAAGGCTGCAACCAGTAATTCTCTAGTCAACAATGGTTTACATAATGCTTTTCTTGATATTTCTGGAATTGTTAGGCATTAGCAATATTAATTGCAAAGTGCATCTTTTATCTCCTTCAAGTCCATGCAATTTACTCTTTAAACTCTATTCATTCTACTTTTACATTATATCTCGCATAAAATAGTACATAAATTCTCGCATATTATTTAATACGGCCAGCTACGAGTAGATTCGTTATCACTCTCCATCTTTTAGATTTGTTTTGCTTTAATGAATATTAAATAAATACAGTAAGATTATATGTTTGATAGAATCCCTAAGGGATCAAACTAAAGTTTACTGAATTATTATTAAGGAAAAAATTCACTTAAGAACAACTGGACTCCCTACTTTTCAATTTTATAGCCCATATTTCAATTTACAACCAAGTAGCCCAAAAATAATAGGCTAAGATTCAACATTCAACTCCAATATGTTCTCAAAATTACTATTTAATTTTAAAAAAAGATTGTTCAAGCTTTTAAGTTAATTTTCGAATCAGTAATTGTGACTCAAATATTAGTTTAACAAACCAAATCCATTTGGGTGGTGAAAATTAGATTTTTAACAACCTTAAATATGTGGGTTTAAATTTCGAATTTGATTTTGTGAGAAATTTGGAGTGGGTGTTATTTAGACTTGTTAGAAATAGTATAAGGAGGTTGTATATAAATTTTGAAGTCATTTAATGGAGATTTGGACTGGTTTTGAACAAGAATTACAACTGAAAATCGTGGTAGAAGTTCGTCTACAGACACTTGTATAAAGGTATATAAAAGTGTATAAAATGTGTTTATACACTCATTTACACTATTATACATAATTATACAAAAAACTGACTTCGTTTTCTTCCTTGCATATTTTCTGAAATTTAATCCAAAACTTGCTCAAATCTACTCCAAAACACTTCAAATTTAAATTTTGACCTCCTTTTGATATTTTCAATCAATTGGAACAATACCCAATCCAAACAACTAACAAACTAAAAAAATCCTATTTTCGAAAGCAAAGCTTTGAATGGCCTTCAATTGTGGACTTGTACTCTTCAATTTTCTTACATTGCAACCAGGGGATACAGAGGGAGAAGCAATAATGGCGGATGGCCCCTTGAAGCATATGTAGAAGATGTGAAAAGAAGAGAGAGTGAAAGCAATGGTTGTGAGAACACAGATTTAACTCTGTAGCTTTTAGAAGCAATGATTGTAGGAACACAAATTTTGAGTTTGCTAGTGCTTTCAAAATATGTACAATATGGACTAGGTCGGGTAAAATTTAAAAAATAGGCCATTTTTTGTTATGGTGTGCAATCACGTGTATTTTCTTGTAATTCTTTCTTTAGTTTTCAACTATAATGTAAATAATTTTAAGTTATTTGACAAACTGATATAAGTACTTAACTACAAATATTTTGATCTTACTGTATTTATCTTGTGCTCAACACGAATCTACAACCACTAGTACAACAAGAAGTAACTTTCACAGTAAATACAATATTGTAACATGAAAAGTGTTTACCCTTAAAACGGATAACAATTAAATTTATACGCAGTTTTAAGAATATGTGAACTGATTCAACACAAATAATCAAGAATGTTAGATAAATGAGTTTAAAATGAAATGAATAAGAGAACCATTCATGATGTTACGGTCGGACTCGAATTTAAGCTAAACAGTAGCTATGTCCTCGATCGAACCCTTAACTCGAAGCCAATTGTGTATGAAGAACAACGACAAAATAAGAACTTTGAAATAGCTAAAAAGCAGAAAAGTGACTTTGTATTTTTTGGTTTGCGTGTTACAATGTGTCATATTGAATAAAAAACTTTCCCTTTATATAGTAGGAGAATTTCATCCCTAGTACAATTCTAAAAAAGGTAAAAATTCTCTTTTCTCGTCAATTACTGATCCGCTACCTACATCGGACGAGATCTACGATGTGATATTCTGTGGGGTGCGGATATCATGGCCCTCTGTTAGTCGTGTGCAACCGTTGCCATGCTTTCCGAGGTCTCAGAGCTTGTTCTAGGTTCGAGGAGTGTTGTCTTATCAGGTCCGGTGGCGAGCACTCCGTTCGGGCCTCAGTAATGGAAGTCCCCAGCTTCGATTTCGTTCCCATATAGTCATATCCTTTCTTCGTTTGACCCACCAATAAATCGAGGTGTGTGTTAGCCCCGGTTTCACCCGTATACATATAGTCCTTTCGTTTCTCAAAGAGTAGATTTGCCAAAACGATGGAAAACGATAGATGAACCTCGGTTCCTTCCTTCATACGTTACAACTGAGATGACGGATAAGCCGAAACGTCCAATCAATCGAGTCGTTCTGACTTCGGACATATGTCGATCATCGGCTGGTCGCCTTCGAATGTGAAACGTCGCGTACTGATTATATTTTCCCCTATAAAAGCTTCGACCTTTTATACTTCTTTCACTTTCTGATCCTAACTTTTACCTTCGAATTTTCTAGCAACTCTAAACTTTTTCAAATTTTCATACCTTCATCTTTGATCTTCAAATCATCATATTTGTTCTTAGATTTCTAACCAGATCTTCATCCCACCTTCATACTCTTTTCTCCAAACCTTCATACTTGTTTCTCCAAACCTTCATATTTTTCCTTCAAATCTTCATACTTTCCAGATCACGATGGCTAAAACTTCCAAATCAGTTCCTCAACAGGCTGCCCCTTCATCTTCTCACCCGACCACAGATGCCTAGGTGGCTGCTCTCGAGGTGGCCCCAGAGCCCCCCGTGAAATGCTTTATACCCGGGAGTTGTTCAATCGGGGATGACTTCAAGGTTGAGAAGGCCTCCACCAAACAAGACTGATGTGAAGGAGCATGTAGATACACATGCTCCGTACTGAAGATACCTTTCCCATAGTCCGAGAGGATTGTAAATGGGAAGGCAAAGACGTGGTTGTCCCTAGCACTAAGGATGATATTACTACCCACATGGACGGGTATTTAAGTATTTATACTTACCCCTTCACGCTGGGCCCGGTAGACCCAGTAGTTCTGCTCTTTTGTAATAGATACGAGGTGTGCCTTGAGCAAGTCCACCCGTCCTTTTGGAGGATCGTGATCCTCCTACGCCATTTTGTGAACAACACCGAATCTCCTCAGTTCACCGTCGACCACCTACTCCGTCTGTACAGTCCCTAAAATTTTCGAGGGGGACTAATCAAGCATGTTTGCCAAGCCAACAAGGCTCACTTTTCGAGGATCGACGAAGATCGAGACTGAGGTTGGCAAGGGCATTTTGTTCGGGTAAAAACTGAAGATCTAATCCCTCCCGAGTTTCTGCCATTCCTTGAGAAGTGGAATGTATCTCGTAAGTGTAGTCTTTCCTTAAGTATTAATTTTCCTTTATTTTTTCTCTCATCGCCAATATTTATGGTCGTGCAGTTATTGCCTGGGTTCCCAATGCAGTCCCCGGTTCAAGGAGTGGATCGAAAAAATCTGCAAGCAGATGTCATACTACGAGCGAGCGTGGCGCAAACTTTCGAAGGGTAGATGGGAGGCCCGTTCTCATGGTAAGTCTCTTCCCTGAATAGTTATTACTACGCCTCAAACTTACATAATGCTGACTTCTTCTCCTTTCCCTCGCAGGTTTGCTTAAGTTGACCGAACGTAGGCCGCTGGATGGAGACGAGGATGCGTCCTTACCCATTGATCCCTCCATTTCAGGGCAGCCTGGGGCTGTTATGGGGTAGAAGGAGAGGAAAAGAAAGTCCTCGGGCTTCCCGGATCCCGAGGCAAAGATAAAAAAGAGGGCGACTACCCGGGCTCGTAAGCCCAAGAAGAATACTAAGTCCAAGGTACCGGACTCTGACTTCCTTCACCGGCTCAGGGATGAGCCCGAAGAAGATGATA